AAATAATAATGATGATACCATTTATTTAGAGCTTTAAGGTTTGCAAAGCACTTGGCACACATCCCATTTGTTTCTCATAATAACCCAATGAGGTAAATGCTATTATTATCTCCATTTTACAGATGAGAAAATTGAGGCTGAGAAAGGTTTAAAATAGGTCACCCAGTGTCTCCTGATTCTAAGTCCAACACTATCCATTGTGCCACCAACTGCCCCATAAAAGGAAAGTATGTGGAAAGGGAAGTGCTACCAATTGAGGGTTAATGTTTTATCAAACATCAAAGAAATGTAATGGCTAAGCCTTGAGAGGCCTCGGAAAGAGAGAGATAAGAAAACAACTAGGTCAGCTGCTCATAAGATAACGTGCAAAACAGTTCTATTTAGAGACACCTTCCTGAGACAAATACCTGAACTCATAGGTTGGATATGGCTTCAACACCCAGATAAACAACCAAACAATGTACTACCTTACTAATAAATGGAATGCAGGATGAGAACAATAGACATAGCAGTGACAAGAGAGACATTATTTCAGGTCAATTTTGGCATATTTAGCACTCAGATGAGGCTTCCATGGCAATTATTTTAGGTTTGAATGTGTTTAAATGGCCACAGATGTATTTTTTAGGAAAAAGTGATAGTTATATTATGTCAGCTTTCTCTGAACTAGGACTGATACTTCTAAGTAGGTTAGAGGGGGAAGGGCACAAACTGTTCTACAGATGTTAGTTATTTGGAAAAGCATGGTCATACTAGAGCTTTCTTTGAGGAAACTAGTAAAACCTAGTTATATCCTAGGTTTTTTGAATGTCCATGTGGAGCTTTTGCCAGAGGAGGTACTAAGATATACATTGCCACACCATAAAACTGAATATGGGCTTGAGTTGATGAGATTACAACTAATAGCAATAATTCTGTCACTAAAAATGAAATTATTTTTAAAGTTCTGCATTGGTGGTTGTGTTTGTTTTAGGTTACGTCAGCTTATTCTGGTAATAGATGGTAACCTGTTTTATTTGAACAATTTGAAAAAATAATCTCAGAGACATGACAAAAATGTGTGGTGTGAATCTGGTACTATTCATACATCCACAATTCAAGGCTATGGTTCTCATAAATTAAGCAAAATATTTGTAAAGTGCCTACTAGATGCGAGCCACTATGCTAGGTGCTTCGGACACACCAGAAATAGAAATAGGCCTTGCCCTCAAGGAACTTATACAGGTTGTCAAAAAAAAGTGTAGTTTTAAGCAAAAGTATATTACTAAGAGAATACAATATGTTCACAGATAAAAAATGAATACAGTAATTTCTGTGGGATACTAACTACTTTTTTTTGGGGGGGGACATACTTTCACCAATGGAGATCATAAGGCACAAATGGGAGAAAAGTATGGTGGGCAAATTGACTTCACTGAAGTAAAGATAACCTGAGAAATAAGGGGAAAAAACAAGAAATGAGACAAGTGTGAAAAGAGACCAGTTCCCAGAAGATATGGATCCAGTTGTGGTTATGCCATTCATCATTTTATCTGACATCTCTCACCTCTTAGTAAAGAAATGATAGAAAAATTATAGGTGCAGAATGGCACATGCCATTTCAGACGGGACCAATATTTGTTTTGCTTGACTACATATAGTGGTTACATGGGAGAGATTCTATTTGGTTGGGAGAGCGGCAATGTGAATTAGTAGGTAGTGATAGAAATTTTTTAAAAAACCACCATTTAAATATTATAGATACCCTGAAGAAAAGTACAATAAGGGATAAAACCAAATTAGAGCAATGTTGTTACTACCTTGCTAAATTTAAAATTAAAGTAACCAGGGGCCAACCAAAATTTATGGTATCTTACACAATCCTCTTTCTTGTTTTTTTGGTAAACTGAAATATTTATGTTTGTTGATAATTTAGTTCATAATGAAAAGGAAAACAAAACAAAAAATAATAATAATCTTTTGTGACCGTGGGGAAGTTAACTTCCCAGGACCTCGGTTACCTTATCTCTTAAATCATGGGTTTGGGATAAGGTGGTTCTCGATAAGATTCCATGGTTAACTTTGAAAATGTATTGGTTCTGTTCTGATAGAGATAAGGCCTTGCCTTCATAACCTTCTGAATTCCAAGAAGCATCTCTAAATTTCCAACACACAGGCGCTCATTTCCTTTTCATAGATGGCTTATAGTGGGTTTCACAAAGACACCACTAAGTTTGCTCATAGCCTGTATTTCTGATTTAATTCAACTCTGCTGAGCCAGTATCCAGACTTTTAAGCATATTACAGATGCATTTAACAGGTCAGTATTTTCTCAGGACTTTCAATACTTACTTCATATATTATGGTGTCTCGTATCTCTGAGGTGGACCAGCAGGCTAGAGGAAGAGGTTTAAAGATGGGAGTGTTTGTTAATTATGGATCCAGCATTGTACAGGGCAGAGTAGAAGGTTCTGGCACATCTGTAGTGGCACAGTAGTAGTATCGGATTGAGGTGGATGAGAATGAAGATAGCTGGCATTAGGGAGAGGGATTTGATCTTCCCTGGCAAGGGGTTCAGTATCACTGGAATTTGGAAAGTAAAAGATGGTGGGATTTTGTTAACCACTGAGGAAACCATGAGTCCAGGCAGAATATAAGTGGATCAGGAAAGTTCTGATGAGGAAGGCAAGTGTTTTAACAAGGGTGAGGCCTCCTCAAGTGCATTCCTTTGACTGAATCCAAACTTCACAGAACAAATCCCCTTAATAAGAGGATTTGTTCTGTGAAACCTGGACTCAGTTAAAAGGCCACACCCAAGGACCTAGAAGGCCACATGTGGCCTCAAAGCTAAAGGTTCCCTACCCCTGCATTAGGAAATTTAAGGTTATCCCTTGAGGTTCTGACCTCGAGGTATGTGGTGATGATACATCTTGACAGGCCTCAAGAAGCCTGCCCTCATGACAAGGCAGAAAGAGGTGTGTGGCAAGAAGGCGGGGAGCCCGGTCAAGAGGCTGGATGGGAGGCCTGTTGCTGTTCCTAACGATCCTTCCATTTTCTGGCACTCACTGAGACCTGGCTCCCCATGGAGGGCTTTGTATGCCTGGTCACCCTCTCTAATGCTGGCAGTAGCTTCTCTCATCCTATCCTCCACATTTTCCAGTCAATGGTCGTGGTGAATGAATACACGAAAAATCAGAATATACCTCACTTCCCATTACAGCTTGCAGGATCTCCCTCTATTGTGGTTATTCACCAACCTCTCCTCCTCACCTGCTAGATATTATTTACCTTCCTTGTCTCCTCAACCCTCCCACAGAACCCTTTCCCCTCACTATTTTAACTAAGAAACTCCTCCCCTACTTCATTTGAAGAACAAAAAAAATCAAGTGATTATCCATGAGCTTCTTTTTCTCTTCTTCTCATCTCATATTCCTCTGACCTCCACTATCTCCTCCTTCCCTGGCAGTATTGTGATTTGGGGGGCTTCCAGAAGCCAGGTTAGAAGGCAAGAAATGATTTATCTCAACCCTACCTCAGAGGCAGGAGGGAGCAGGATCTGAAAGGAGGAGAGGGGAAATCCTCTGGAAGGAGGAAGGATAAGTATTCCAGCCCTCCTCCAGGGAGCCATATGTGATCCATACATGTTAATTACTCATTTTGTGATTTTCTTCTTTAAGTTTATTTGCTTCTGTTCTATTGTACATATAACATTGATATATTTGCTAGCCGTGCATATGCTAAAATTTATATCTTGTTATTCTGTAGAACTACTAATGGTATCATTGCTTTACTGTCATGTATATTTTGCTCATATCTTCAGTGGGTGATGTGTAGAGTGTAGATACACATTTTCTATGTGGTAGAATGTGTGTGTGTGTGTGTGCTCAGATGTGTATTGTGTATGCATTTTTTTTTGTTTTTTGCTTTTTAGTGAGGCAATTGGGGTTAAGTGACTTGCCCAGAGTCACGCAGCTAGTGTCTTCTATCCGAGATCGAATTTGAACTCAGGTCCTCTTGACCCCAAGGCTAGAGCTCTATCTAGTGCGCCACCTAGCTGCCGCATTGTGTATACATTCTGGACGAGGAATGGGGATAGTGTTTTGAGACAGAGGGGTCAAAAATGAGGCGGCCCATAACATTCCCCCAGTGTGGCTAGAACCAGATAAAAATGTAACTGGGAAATATTTAAGAAAATTAATAAAAATGCAATAAAAGATTAACACTCCATCTTAAAACTGTCAACATGAGGCCCTCAGGGATCCCTCAGTAATGGATCAGTGGCTCTGTTTGGGAGGGCACAGCAGAGGGAAGAGCTGAGCAGCCGGCTAACCTGTGTTCGTGCTGGTCTAAATTGCGGCGGGGACAAGGAAGGAGCCGTCTTTAATAGAATGGCTGGCAGCGGCACCGTTTCCTCTCCTGCTCAGGACACTCTTGAGAACCAGAGAGACTGGGAACAAAGGGGCCTGGGCCAGGACGGAGGTCTCAGGCGGCGAGGCGCGACTCTGCAACTTTGGCAGGCACAAAGGGGAATGTGTGCATCTGTACGGCGTCGTCAACAACCGTTTATTAAACACCCGCTACACCAGTCACCCGTCCGGGGAGACAACGATAGCAAACGTGCAAACAAAATGCATAAAGAATCCACTGGAGATGATCTCAGAGGGGAGGTACCAAGATTAAGGGGGATGGAGAAAGTCTTGCAGAAGGCGAGATCTTGGCTAAGACCTACAAGGAAGCCTGGGAAGCCAGGACACTGAGATGGGGAGGAAGGAAAGAATTGTAGGAGCAGGGGACGGGAAAATGCCCGGAGGCGGGAGATGGAGGGTATTCGAACAGGTGCCAGAGCTACAGGATCGAAAGGTCTCAAGAGAGAAAGTAAGGGCCAGGCTGTAGGGCTTTAAGAGCCGATCCGGGGACCCGATGTTTGATCCTGGAGGTAATAGGGAGACCTGAAAGCAATCGAATGGGCGTGCCCATTGTATGCGGGCGGGGGGGGGCGCGCCCTCAGGGCGGGGGTCGGGGTGTGTGTGAGGGGGCGGGGGGTTCCGAGACTAACGCTTGGCCTGGGTCCTGGCGCTCCGGGCGCTAGCCCGTGGCGTGGATGCCCTGCGTCCGGACCCTCCTCTACCTCCTGGCTGCTCTGGGCGCCTGCGGCGCGGTTGCCTTCCTCGGCTACTGCGTTTACTTCGACCAGAAGCGGAGGGACGACCCCGGGTTCAAGCGGCGGTTGCGGGACAGTGAGTGCGTCCCTCCCGCTGGGGCCGGGATGAGGAGGGGTGGCTTGGCTGGAGGGCGGTTCCGGTTCAGGGTCCTCGAGACCCGTTTTTTTGGTTTTGTTTTGCTTTTTTTTGATTTCCAGGCTTCCCCTCCCAAGGCAAGGCCAGGTCTCCACTTTGTTATGTCCGTGTCCCCCCCCAAAGAGGGAAAGGAAACGGAGAGTGGGGGTCAGAGAGGGAAGCTACCCGCCCTCCCCCATCAGCTACCTTGGTCGTGGCCGTCCAGCCAAGAGGGTGCTGTCCCCGCATCCTCGTGGAGTGCCAGTCTGGCCCCAAAGGAACACGATCCATGTGCAGATGCCAGCCTGAATTCCCGCAGGAGTCCTGGGGAGAGGGGCTGCTGCTGCACAAGCCGACGAATTAAGTTCAATTATTGGATTCACAGAAAGAAGAGCAGAGCAGCAAAAAAAGGCTAAGGAACAGGGTGTGCAGGTGAAGTGTTTTAAATACACTCGTGTAACTTTATAGTGAGCACTTTTTCCATTTAAATATGCTTGTTTGGACCACTGCTTGCCAGGGTGTTATTTTTAGAAAGTGAATACAGTTTTGCTACCGACAACATTGGAGTAAGAGAGAAATTAATAGAGTATGCACCGGAAGAAACTGGTGTTTAATTTGACAGATTGACAACGCTGCTTAGATGCCACCCGGTCAGCTGCTGCAGGAGTTCTTAACCTTTTTTTGTGTGTCCTAGATGTCTGGGGCAGGAAACCAATTATATTGAAAGTTATCAAAATATTGGGGAAAAAAGGCCACAGACTCCAGGTTATGAACCCCTAATCCTCAGTTTAGGAGGGGGATGCCACAGGAAAAATAAAAAAAAAACAGGATCATCTAATAGAATGTGTTAATGTGAGTGGAACTAGAAAAGTGCTGAAAGAATTCAAAAGAGAAGAAGCTTAGGTTGATTCAGATTAAAGAAAAGCTGGCACTAGATCCTGCAGAATTTTGATAAGTATAGCTAGGGGGAAGAGCATTTTAGGTGTAGGGTATGGCACGAGCAGAGGTGCAAGGGAGCAGATGTGCTATATATAAAGCTGAAACAAGAGGTAGAGCCCAGATTGTGGAGGTCTTTACTTGTAGGGCAGAGTTTGAATGGGATTTGGAAGGTATGAAGGAATTGCTAAGAGAAATGGGAAGGTCAGGATAAGTCAATAGTTTGTAGTAAAGATGGCTTTGGTTTTAGACATTAAGTATGAAGTCATGACCTATGAATACCTAATAGTTGTTAAAATATAGAACCATAGATTTAAAGGAAGGGACCTTAGGTCATCATTTTACAGATGACAAAACTGAAGCCCATAGAGATAAAGTGACTTGCCCAAGGTTACATGGGTTATAAGTATAGAGGCAGGAATATGAAACCAGGTTCTGTGACTTCAGATCTAGCATTTTTCCTCATTGCACCATCATTGATATATATACGACACTTTCAAGTTTTTGAAGTCCTTTACACATATAATCTCTGATATCAAAGTATAGAAAGAAAAGAGGAGAGGGCCAAAGATACATCCCTGGTCAACGCACATATCCTAGGGACAGGAAATGTAGACAAGAAGTCAGAGAGGTAGGAGCAAAACCAGTACAGTGTACTACCCTGTCATGGAATCTAAAGGATGAGAAAATTCAGATAGAAAAAGGGATCAGAAGCATGGAATGCTGGAGAAGTCAAGAATGATGCCTGAGAAAAGGCATTGAATTTGGTATTAAGAGGTTATGATCAGTGGAGCAGAATCGAGATGGCAGGAGATTAAGGGGGACAGACTGTCATGAAGAAGCTAATTGCAAGTTGATGACGAAAGAGCTGCAAAAAGCTTATCTTTCATCCCTCTCCTTCAGTATAAGCAACACAGAGAATATATAGAAGGGGTTTTATTAGGGCTGATCTCATAAAATAGGTGCAGTAGAGTAGGGGGTTTGGAATGATTCAAGGAGGTAACCATTCTGGCCATCATACCTTCATTCTTTTTATTCTTTGAGAGTTAAGGCAATCCAGATTAAATATAAGGTGGAATAGTGGTGGAATTATTACCAGAAAGGGAAAAAAATTGAAGTGACAAGGGAAGTGGGAAGAGCCTAAAACATATTTTGACTACTTCAAAATTGGTTTTAAGGCTAGCCATAGTAAGCGTTGACTTTGCATGACATAGTAGGCATGTCTTTAAGTAAAATTGAGATGTAAGGTTACTTTTCCTTCCCTTCTCCTATCATTTACCCTTTCCTCTTATCTGGCTGAAACTTTGCCCAAATGGAGTGGGCTGTTAAAATCGTAAAGCTACAAGGCATCTTAGAAATTATCTATATTGCTCTTCTCATTTTACAGTAGAGGAAAATGAGGTCCAGATGACGCCCATGCAAAGATTACATAGGAGAGTAGGATTTGAACTTAGCTCTACTGATTTCAAGTCTAGTGCTCTTTTCACTACAAAAGTCTGCCTCTCTTAGCTACATTTAAAATTAGTTTCTTAGGGAAAACTTCAACAACCAAAGGATCCTAGGATCATAGTTCTAGAGCTGGAAGGGACCTCACAGACCATCTAGTCCATCCCATTCAGAAATGAAGCTGCAGTACTGGAATGGCAGGTGATGAGGTGGATATTTTTTGGACAATGGATTTCCTACTGTATTTATTCATCAGGTTAAACCTAGCCATGGCAACCTGATTTGTAGATTGAAGCCCACACGTGCTGCCTTGATGTCTTACTCCTACAGCCAAGTTATCACTCTCCTAAAAAGTATGGCCAGGCCATATCATACTAGTAGCTAGTAGCATCTCTGACCTGTCAATCCCCACTTCAGATTGGTATACTTATCTGAAGTAGAGTTACGACCATCCATTCCCTCTATCCTCCCTATGTGTCCCAAGGGAATAAAGAAAGAATGTGTTAGCTAAGTTTTCATTGTTTTAGTGCTATTCACTTTAATGTAATCTGAGCTGTAGTCAAACCTAGTAAGTTGGGCAAAAGATGATGAAATTGAAACTATCCTTTTCTACTAAGCTTTAATGTTATGGTACATTTTTATCAGTTGCAAGTGAATATTTGTTTGAAGAAGGTGATTTTAACATTAGTGTAAAACTATATTTTGACTTTTTAGGTTTAGAAATTTATATAATTTTTTTGGTTTTTGGCTAGGCAATAGGGTTAAGTGACTTGCCCAGAGTCACACAGCTAGAAAGTGTCAAGTGTCTGAGGCCAGATTTGAATTCAGGTCCTCCTGACTCCAGGGCTGGTGCTTTATCCACTTTGCCACCTAGCTGCCCCTATGAAATTGTTTTTTTAAAATAAATTAAATATTTTTATCAGTCATTACATAGATTTGACTTATTACCTTAAAATAACTTGTTACGTATTTTGTAAAACTTTTAGACTGGAGAGTTTCTGAAGAATGAAAAATTGCAAGAGTTCTTTCTCCAAGAGGTGCAAATGGGAGAACTTTGGTTATCCAGAGGTAAGATTATAATCATTCTTTTGTAAGCAAATAAAGTAGGTATTCAATATTTTTTTATCAGTTGAAGGGATAAATACTATTAACATTTTACAGTTAGATGAGTTTACTATATAATTTCAGTCTTGTGACTTTATTGAAATTAAACTAATACTATCATTCTGTTCAACCAAGTTCTGTAACAGTGAGTGCCAACAGTTTATTTGACCAAATTGGAGTTGGTAGGAGAAAAGGTTAATTAGAGTAATATCTCATTTATCTAGATTGTTAAGGAAAGAGGGTTGTCACAGGGATCTAAAGAGAAAACATGCAAAAAGCTTTGGAAATCCTTGAAGTATATAAACATGATCATTTGTTGTTAAAAGAAAAAAGCACATAGAACATAGATAGTTATTGTGCCGTGCTCTAAGTGTGATTTTCTCAAAGGCGGTTTGTCTTTAGACTAAGAGGATCCAGACTGCTTTTCAAAAATTTTTTGTCTCCTCCTCTTCCTCGTGTTTACATTGTACCAGCTGACACTTCTTACTGTTGCCAGGATGTCTTACTTCTAAGTTTCCTCATCTCCTTCTATTTTGTTGCTTCTAATCTGTTATGTTCTAGGAATCATAACCATCTGTTAGAATCATGCCTACAGTAAGATTTAAAAGTATTTGTGTTAGGGCCTGAAGCTCTCCTACAGTAAAGTACTCATGCCTAGTTGCAGAGCCTTTCTGACATATTGGGTGCTGGGAGGCCTCTTTTGTTTCTATCTTGTGTTTTGCAAATTTGTTCTAGACAAATGAAAATTCCATATAAGTGATTTCTAGATAAAAATGAGGCATTACTTACCATATACTATCAAGTACAGATATACCTGATTTTTAAAAATGCACTAAAGATTTTTCTGTAATCCTGTGGAAGGGTCTGTGATCCCTACATCTCTTTTCTTCTGAAGATTTTAGTCTTCAACTTGCATCTAAGAATGAACATGACTTTCACAGCACTGAATCAAAAGTTGAAGTCCAAGAACCTGAGAAACTAATTACATATACATCTATAATTTCAACTTCAATTAAACAGTTACAAATATAAAGATTTGGGGCTTTCAGATAGCACAGCCCTTAAAAATGATTAAACGTTAATACTTATGTTGAGATATTTTAGTTAATTATTCTGGTTTGTTGTCATTTTCAGTCCTGTCCAACTCTTTCTGACCCCATTTGGGGTTTTCTTGACAAAGATACCAGAATGGATTCTCCAACCATTTTACAGATGAGGAAAGTGAAGCAAACAGGATTAAGTAACTTGCTCAGGGTCACGCATCTGAGGTCAGATTTGAATTCAGGAAGATGAGTCTTCCTGACTCCAGGCCCAGCGCTCTATGCACTATGGCGCCAGCTAGTTATTGCTCTGGTAGGATCACAGATTTAGAGTCGAAGGGAGCCCAGGTCCACGAGTCCCACCTTCCTCATTTTATAAGATGAGTAAACTTTGGCCCAGAGAGATTACATTAATTGCCTCGTTCATGAAACTACTGAGCAGGAGAGCTGGGATCTGAACTCATATCCTCTGTCCCTAAATCTAGCAGTCTTTCGATTTTACCACGTTAATGGATTTTATGTTGAGTAACGTTAAAAACTGAGTAACTGAATGTTGTTAGAAGAAAAAATGACTGACCAGGAACTGACATAGTTTGGTATACAGGATTTGAGTAATTTTAAAAAATCTTTCCAATAATGATTTCCCCATCTATTCCAAAATATGTTGGTTTGGGAATCCTAATTATGGTGAGAGGAAAATGATGAATTGAGAATCAAAGGAAAAATACATAAAAATTACAGGCAGTGTGGTAATTGTGGAAAAAGTGGTGGACCTGGAATCAAACAAAGACCCAGGTCTGAACCTTGCCTGTAATTATAACTAGCTGTGTGATCACGAGCAATCCCTCAAGTTTCAGAGTCAAAGTTTCCTTATCTGCAAAGTGGCGCTAACAATGCCTGTAATGCCCAAACCTCAGTGTTATCTGGAGATAAAAGCTTTCACAGTCTCATATTTTACTTCTATTTGCTTTATAGTTTAAATGTTAACATTTAAAATAATATTGGTCAAACTAAGAGATGGCTGGGTCACAGACTGTAGAAAACAACTTTATGATTTTGGGCATAGATATCACAAATATAACTCCATATTTCTTGGTTTTTAAAGCTTTAAAAAACACCAGGCTGAGAAATCCTTCCCCAGGGCCCTTCTGACAATACGGTCATTTAGCAAAGTGATTTGTAAATTGTAAAGGGGTCCTTAAATGGGAGTTGTCATAATTTACTTAAGATGGAGGTGAGGATTGGAAGTAGCTAAAATGGAAATTTTTTTCCCTTTGTTAAATGTTTAAGGCCATTAATTGGTATGGTGAGATTTCTTCCAGTTTTGTGGAACTTTTGTAATATCCTTCCTCTTTACTCACTTTAAAATTAATTTCCTTTCTCTGTCACCTACAATTAAAATTCTGCTGAAGAAACTTAAAAAGGCAAGTAAAACAAAATCCTTAAGATTATGAAAAAAGTCTAGGCTGTAGCCCTTTTAATTCTGACTGACTGAATAGGACCCCCAGTTTGACCCACTAAAATGAAGTGACACAAAATAAATGATTTGGCTGAATTCTTTGTTAACTGAATTGACCAAATTAAACAGCAGTTTTTGCTTTTAGTAGTAAAGTCTATCTTTCATCTTCTTTTGAAACACCACATTCAAATATTTGGCCTTAGGACACAATGAAAGGTCCTTATTTTTAAGAGAAAATCATTACAATTTCACCTAAAGACCTAAAAAGCATTTTAATGGAACTACCAAAAACAAAGGAATGAAAATTTCTCAGTTTGGAAGCCATAAACCAAAGCAGACCCTAAAAATTTGAACTCACAGAATTAGGAAGGAAAAAAAGTTCTAGTCAATTTTGTTGTTTCAAAGGAAGCTATTTTTTTTAAAACAAAAATCTTGGTATTTTTCATGTATTCATTCCATACTATTTCTTTCTTTAGTTTCTTTTTCAAAATTAAAACAAACCAATAATAAAGACATAATTCTTGCACGCAAGTCCAAGGAAATGTCTTATATTTGAGACTTTACATATTGTTTGTATAGAGTAAGGGTCAATAAAACCTGTATACTGATTAACTATGCCATACAATGTATGCTGAGAGGGGAATGATGGTGGAGTAGGAAAATGGCTGACCCAGGAATTTTAGATAATGTGGGTCTGTTACTAGCTTCCTTGGACAAGTTAATTTACCTTCTGTAAAGGTAAATTGTCCTGTTCCAAGTCACCTTCTAACTCCTTAGTTCTATGATTACTTTCCATTATTTGAATACTTATTTTTCAATTCTAGCTATGTGTAGTTACAAATGATAATCATTCAATCAATCAATGAACAACATTTATTAAAGGCCGGTAGTTCATCAGGTATTGTGCTAGGTGCTAGGAATACAAAGACAAAAACGCCAACAGTTCCTGCCCTCAAGGAGCTTACATTCAATAAGGGGAGATGGCATACACATAAAAGTACATACAAAATAAATACAAGGTAGTATTTTTGGAGGCACAGCTGGGGTGAACAGGAGGACCTTATCAATAACCTAAACAGTGTTTATTGATGTGAGTTTTGAAGAAATTTGAAGAAAATTCTCATCAGAGGCAGAGTTAGGGAAGAAGTGCACAGGGAACAGGATGTGCAAAGGTACAGAAACAGGAGATAAGAGTGTCATTGTAATACCAAGAAGGACAGTGTGGTTGGACTGAAAAGTGTGTGAAGGGGAGAAATGTATAAGGCTGGAAAGGTAGATTGAAGCCAAGTGGTAAAGAATTCTAAATGCCAAACAGATGAGGCACTGGGGAACTGGAATTCACTGCATATGAGAGTAACATGGTTAGACTTGTGATTTAGGAGTGTCTCTTTGGCAGCTGTGTGGAAGATGAATTGGAGAAGGGAGATTTGAGGTAGGGCAATCAACTAGGATACTGCAATACTCTAGGGAAGAGATGACAGGGCCCTGAACTTGAGTGGGGGCCATGTAAGTAGAAAGACTGGGATGGATGGGACAGATGTGGAGGCAGAATTGACAAGTGTTGGCAACTAACTGGATACATAGGGTAAGGGAGAGCGAAAGAGGTAAGGGTGACTGAGGTAGTGAATGTGAATGAATTGGAAGGACAGTAATAAGGCTTTCTACGGAAATAGGCAAGTTTGGAAATGTATAGGATGGGGGTGGTGGTGATAAGTTATATTTTGGACATATTGGTTATGTGGAGCTCAGGAGGTAACAGGACTGGATATATAGATTTGGGAGTTATCTGCAGAGAGATGATTCTGAAACTCCTGGGAGCTGATGAGGTCACCGAGAATGGCCAGGACAGCTGGGAGGGCAGGATATGGACGATGATCCAATAAATGAGACTAACCAGATAGGAGAAGGAGAAACCCAGAGGTGGTCAACACCGTTAGAAGCTGCTGAGAGGTCAAGGATGACTGAGAAAATCTTCTCAGATCTTGCAATTAAGAAATCATTGGTAACTTTGGACAGAACAGTAGAACAGTTATTAGCTACAGTGTAAGTAAGCTCCTTGGTAACAGAGATTCTTTCATTCTTTGTATCTCCAGTGTCTAACACAGTGCCTGTCACGTTAGCAGGTACTTAATAAATGCTCAGTAACTGAATTTAGTGATGGCAGAAGTAAGACTGCAAAGGACTGAGAAAGTCAATGAGAGGAAATAAAGCATTAGGTATAGACATTTTTTTCCTAGGATTTTGGTTATGAAGAGGAGATAGTCTGAAGGGGACTGTAGGGGACCTATCTGTAGGCAGCAGGGAAGGAGCCAGTGGATAGGGAAAGACTAAATCAATCAACATATTAAGTGCTTATGTATTAGGTACTGGGCATACAAAGACGAAAATAATTCTTGCCCTCAAGGAATTTATGTTCTTGCAGGGTAGACATATATGCATGCAAAATACAGATAACATTGGAGTGGGGGGCACTGGCAGTGTGTGTGTGTGTGTGTGTGTGTGTGTGTGTGTGTGTGTGTAGGAGGAGAGGCTTCATGTAGAAGAGAGTGCTTGAGTTGAGTTTTGAATGAAGGGATTCTAAAAAGAAGTAAAGAAGGAATGCATTCCAGGCATGAGGCAGTGCAGAGTCATGGAGATGAAAGAACTAGCAGCAAGACCAGTCAGGCTCACTACAGAGTGCAGGAATGAAAGTAATGTACCGTAAGTTTAGAAAGGTAAGGTAGGGCCAGGTTGTGAAGATCTCTAAACGCCAAACAAAAGAGTCTGGAGGCAGTAATACAGAACGAATGCAGTTTACTGAGTAGAAGACTGACAAGCCAGACCTCTGCTTCAAGAAAATCATTTTAGTAGCTGGGTGGAAGACTGAATGCGGAAAGATGAGGCAGAAAGACCCCTTTCGAAGGCTATTGTGGTAGGCCACTCAAGGGACAATGGGAGCTTCAGCTAGGTGGATGGTTATGTAGGTATAGAGAGAAGGGGTCATATCTAAGTGATTGTGGAGGTAGAAATGACAAAATTTAGTGGGGTGAAGAAGGGGAAGGAAAGGGAGGAAGCATTAAGGGCACAAGAGCTGTTGGCCTTTCTGAGGACTATCTCTTCATCAGAGACTGCCTAGAGTAAAAGAGCAGAGAATGCAGGATGCTGAGAGGTTTTGAGAGGCAGAGTACGGGAGAAGAGGGAACTGAAGACTGATCGCCTCTATTTTTTCAGGAGGTAGAGTAGGAGTCTTGAGAAGAGATGAAAAACTCTGCAGCATCCACTAATGGAATGCAGGATAGCGAATCAGTTAAAGAGTAAAAGGATAGCCATGCTACACTAAAGGCCCAGTTGAAATTAAACATTTCCAGGTGACCCAGTCAGCACAGTGTGGGATTTCATCTATTCATGAGTATGTGAGTAGGAGCAGAAGGTCAATATTGGGCAGAGAGGAAAATGAGAGAGTAGGGGTAAAGACCTCAGAGGATACTGAAAGCCTCACTGAGGGCAAAAAATAGGTTTAGGAGTGAGGGAACAGGGAGAGATTCAACCAGAGGAGGTTATGGTTCAGTAACGGAATTTAAGAATTCTTTATAGTGGAATACTAGGGTGAGATCAAGAGTGTGACTACGGTGGACTGAAGGAATAGGTAGGTGATAGAAGTTGAGGAGATTGAAGACTTGGGAGGACAGGATGTTTTAGGGGATAATCAAGCGTGAATGTTAATCTCATTCTTTAATGATCCAATTTTCAATTCTAGCTATATTTAGCTACAAATGATCATCTTAAGAATCCTGTGCTAAAAAGGGTATTGTGGTATAGAGTCAGGTGACCTGGGTTAAAACACTGGCTCTGATATATATGGTTACTACCTGTGAGCAAAATACTAACAAGGTACATGCAACTAACTGTGCAAGATGGTTTCATCTGCAAAATGAGATGACTGTATAAGGTAGTAGCAGAAAGTCCATAATATTATTATGAGTACCTCACTGAGAGATAAAATCAAAAATTTTTTTCTTCAATTTTTTGAACTTAATGCACAAATTAACACAGGGTGCTAGTTTGACAGTATTTGATAAAGGAATCCATTACATGTTTCTTACAACCAACAGACCAGTTGTGTATCATCTAAGACATAACAAGCATACATATACTGCTAAAACATTATCCCATATCCTATGTACATTCCAAGTCTTAAATAAAAACTGGCAGAATTGTAAAATAGATTACAAAATCCCTCTATTTTTATTAAACTCAACTACAACATTGTAGAGCTAACAATTTTCAAATCCAAAGGCTGTTAACACTGCCTAACTGTGCCCTATTACAGCTTCACCAGCCTTCCTTTTCCACTTTGAGATTCTAAGTCTCCAAGTAGGCTTTGCTGCGCAAATTCTCAACTAATACTTTTCCTATATGATACTAAGTGTGATGGGAGTCTTGTCTGACTTTGCTTGCATTTGAAACCGAAGGTTCCCATCTTTAATGACAGATTTTGTCAAGCTGTACTCTAATTAAAGTGTGTAGAGTGTTGGCATTTTGTGGTAAAGGGATTTGATAGTCTAAAAAAAAAATTTGGGGACTTTCATTCAAAACCACCATGCCTTTGTTTCAGGTGAACACAGAATGGGAATTGAACATCTCAGCAATGCCATTTTAGTATGTGGGCAGCCACAGAAACTTCTGCAGGTTTTCAAACAAACGCTGCCCCCTATGGTATTTGATATGCTGATGTACAAACTACCCCTGGTGTGCCAGGTATGTGTAGATTTCATTCTTTTGGTGAAATAAAGATGGGAAATACTGTATGTGTATGTGTATATTCATGTTCAAGGACTCTGAAATGCATCTTTTCTAAAATTACTCTAGTGTTAGAGTAATTAATGAATTATTTTGTTGAGATGTGGTATAAGTTTGTCACACTTTTAAGACACCCTTTGTCAAAATTTAGTTTTTTTTTCTAGGATTTAATAACAACTGTGTCTGCTAAGGCTGGATAATGAAATGACATGGTTCAGCTTCTAAAGGAGGCTTTTAAAAAAAGCATATGAAAATTTATCATGGAGATTTCCCCTTAAGTTACATCATATATTTTTTTTCCTTCCATCAATGACAGAAATACATTACCATTAAGTTTAGACCTAAAAGTCTTTCAAGTCTAACTACAACTTCATATCTGTATCGAATGGAATTTACCCCAATAACTGTTGGCTATAGTTGTCTTTTGATACCAGATTAAAAATGTTTACAAAAATCTGTCCTCTTTTATGTCTGCGAGTCAACTATGACTTTTGAAGATGTTTCTTTCATTTTTACATTTATTTAGCCAATATTTATTTTAGCTTTGGTTTACTTTATTTCATTTGGGCATTTTTAGTGAGAAAATCTGGATGACTCACAATTTAAGTGGCGATAAATGACTTACATATTGATGGTCTGACCTAAATATGCAGGTTTCATTCTCATATTTTGTGTAAAGACCATGGGCTCCACTCTAGAGCATGGCTGTGAGTTAACACACTTCTCAGTGTTAGTCACAGATGGCATTTTTCCTAGAGGCATAGGGAAAAAGTCTAATGCCTACACTGGCGGAGGATGGCAGGATGGGGGAGGGAGAGAGAAAGGGAGAAGAAAATGAAGGAGAGAAAGGAAAGACTATGCACTGAAATAATAGAAAATAACTCTTGTGTATTTACCAGAAATTTGAGGCAGAAATGAATGAACAGGAATGCCTTGAGGATGATCCTGAGTGAAAAATATTTCAGCTATGTATCCAGATAAGACTCCAGTCTGGATACTGTGGTAATTCTTAGTATAAACAACTGCTTGTTGATAAAAATATGAACTTAAATGTTGCCACTTACTTTACTTTTGGTAATAAAAATAATTTTTATGTTATACATGATTGAACACATACTTTGCTTTAAAATTAACAGTCACAATTGAAGAAACAATGGTTTATTTTGCTAATCAAGTGGCCAAGCCGTTGAATTTTAAGGCCCCAACAAAGGCTGCATCTTCATATTTTCATTGCACAATAAGACAAGATCTTGTACTTTGCTCATTCTTGGCAAGAAGCACATTTGTTTCTCCAGTGGTTTCCACCTGCCAAATGCTCACAATCACTGACATGGTGAAAATATCCCCAACAGTTTAAGATCAGAAGAACTCCCACTTTCCAATACAACAACTGTTGTACTGCTTTACGGAAAGGTCCATCCATAAATACTTTTCTATCGCGGTTGGCCAAGGAGTCCTGCTTTGGCAGCCAGAGCTTCATTCTGTTGAATGTGATACTCTTGAAACCTCAAGGATATTCTTTGTGTCATCTTTAAATATTTTTGTAGGCAGTGTTCTGAGCAGGTAGACTAGAAAAAAGGGACGAAGGCATTAAGAGAGATGACAGTAAATTTTATTTTAAAATTGATTCATTCCAAAAACAAAGTTGGTTGTACTAAGATTTTGCCTTTACATTGTATTGGAAGCAAATTACACCAAATTAGCAAATGGACAGTCCAAGTTCTTCTGTGTTACTTTTATTGGTAGAGCCATTTCTCTAATTCCTTATTCAGGATTTTTTAAAAAGATAGGAACAGCAGCAAGAATAGATGCTGCTTTTTGTGGAAAAAACTGATTCTAAGAACTCAAATATAATTCATTTACATCTGTGCAGGGAGAATCATCGTAGTGGATGATTACTAAAACAAACAAACAAACAAACAAAAGCACCCAAAACAGTGACGTTTAACTTCCCCGGAAAATGGGGAACAAAACATGAATGCTAAGCAACAGCTTGTAATGGAAAGAGGCTTACAACACTTTGTGCCTAAGTGAAATTTTAAATTGGAAAATCAAAAGGAAAAAAATGTGATGGGGCCCATATTCTAACTATGTAATATGTTAACACTCAGTTCAAGCTGGGCTGTTTCCAAAACCAAGAGTATTCTGATGAATTGGAGGGGCTGTGTCAAGTTTCTTCGGTGTAGTTATCTTTGCTGAAAAGGGATGAGTCCTTGCTGGGGACCACTAAGACAGACCCTAAGAACTGACAGGATACGGGGCAGCTAGGTGGTGCAGTGGACAGAGCTCCGGCCTTGGAGTCAGGAGGACCTGAGTTCAAATTTGGCCTCAGACACTTGACACTAACTAGCTGTGTGACCCTGGGCAAGTCACTTAACCCCAAATGCCTCATCAAAAAGCAAAAAAAAAAATTGATAGGATAAATATCTTTTCTGACAAGTTTGCCTCAGTAACATGTGAATGATGCCTCATTAAATTGGCAGTAGTAGTATCAAATTAAATGGGAAGACTACCCAAAATTCTCACAGCAATGGCATACAAAAGGCCATGATTCAAAACCCAGTCCTACATGTTGCAGAAACATTATCAAAACAATACACTAAGGGGCTTTTCTATTTTGTTTCTTTATAGAAAATTAGGGCAAATGTTAGTGGGAAAAGTTACATACCTCTTCTGGTTTGACCTCTCTTGTTGTGAAGTCTTTAACACAATCCAGAAAACAAGTTTCTGTGAGTTTATTGTAAGTTCCAAGAAATTCTTTAAACTGTGAACAAATTCAAAGTCAATTAAATGATTTTCTTTCTTGCTGCTCTAACTTTGAGATTAACCTGCTAATAGAAGTTATTTTTCAACCAAACATACCTAGAAACTAGAGTGAATGATGTGCATATGTATAGTAATCAGGCACAGAACCACATAAAATGGAAAATAAATTTCTTTTAAAAATTCCATCAATCCTGCAAAATGCACAAATGAAAACAAAAGTGAAAAATGAGAATTTTCTATTCAAGTAGCTATAACCTTCCCACTAAATAAACAGAAAGAGGGTTACAGTTTTAATTTTAATCTGTAAATTACAGTTCAAGTTTTGATATGTTTTGGTTTTATTTTTTCCTGATTGTTTGCCAAAAAAAAAAAATTTACCTCACATTCCTGTTACTTGATTATCCTCCTTTAGAAATGAAATTTGGAACAACTGGTTGAGGAAACTTCTTGTGGTGTAGTTTTAGTTTTTCAAAACCAGTTTTCTTTAAGCAAATCTCACCTGTTTAATCTGATCAGTTTCTGATATTTGTGCAGCCATATCCTTTTAATATGTGGATCAGTCACCTGTGTTAAAAATAAAAAAGAAATTAAACTAAAAATAAGTGACTGCATTTATGAAATGGAACTGAAAACAGCTGTAACTGAAAAGTAATGGTTCATATGTTTGAAAAAAATCTCATTGTGTCTCTATGTGCCTATGTTTCCTTCCCCGCGTCTGTCAAAACTTAAGTTTCTTAAGACTAGGGACTGTATTTTTTTGTTAGATATAAGACATCAAAGCTAGTAGTTGTGCTACTAAAGTTTCCTAATTTACCAGCTGAAGTCATTCATTCCTGTCATTGTCCTGTACTAAATATTTATGGAATCACTTTCATAACAAAATATTAAATGTATTGTTTATGGAAGCTTTGAGATCTTTGGTAACTTTTAAACTTATCTCTGAGATTAATGGAATCAATGTGACTAACCCCATTGGTAGCCACATCTGGGTTTGTCTCTTGGAAGAACTGCTTAAACCCTAGGAAAGCTCAAAGGCATCATTAAAAGAAAAACAAAAAATTATCACAATTCGATATTCACACTTCTGCTAAGAACTCTAAACTTGAAAATCCAAGAGTTCCCTAGAAAGCTTACCTTCCAATAAAAGATAATTGCAGGAACTAATCCATGCACGTAATTTCTATTCAATTAAACTCTATAATTCGTAGAGTGACAAAAGGAGAAAATAGCAGGGTTAAAATACCTCTTTAAGGGGCAGATAGGTGGCACAGTGGATAGAGCACCAACCCTGGAGTCAGGAGGACCTGAGTTCAAATCCGGATTCAGACACTTACTAGCTGTGTGACTCTGGGCAAGTCACTTAACCCCAACAACCTTTAAAAAAAAATTAAAGAAATACCTCTTTAGATTATTTGGCTTTTTTCTTAACCACAAAGTTGTGCTTGGTCTGAGTTGATAGCATTTCGCAGGATCATAAAGCTAGACAGAACTGGAAGGGATCTAATAGACAATGCAGTCCAAATATTTCATTTTACAAATGAGGAAACTAAGGCCTAGGGAAGAACCTAGCTCCTCTGACTAGAGAACTAGTGCTCTTTCCGTTGTACTATGTAGCCTCCTAGAAATCATTATACTGTATTTATGAATATTGGGGGTTCTGGAAACCTTCATGAAGCTCAGAGTAGACACTTCATGTGAAAATCCAATTAAATGATAATCCCATAATGTTAGCTTTTTTAGAAGCAGCTTGGTAGCTCAGCAGATAAAGCACTAGGCCTGTCACCAGAAGACCTGACTTCAAATCTGGTCTGAGACACTTACTAGCTGTATTACCCTGGGCAAGTCACTTAACCTCAGTTTCCTTATCTGTAAAATGAACTGGAGAAGGAAATGGCAAACCACTCCAGTATCTTTGCTAAGAAAACCCCACGGATGGTATTGGTATGCTATAGTTCATGGGACATGACTGTTAAGTCATGAACAACAACGTTAGCTTGATATAAAACATTTTTAGCACTTTAAAGGGCTACCAGAACACTAACCTAGAATTCTCTGAAATCATCTCTTTAATTATTTCTTCTAGCATGTAATGTTCATATAAATATACTTATGTGGACACACACACACACACACACACGTACCAAATTTGTCTATTCATTCTTCAATTGTCAAAAGAAGCAATGTATGGGTTCCCCTTAGATTTTAGTTTCTTTCTTTTCCCCCTCCTTTTACTCTCCCCTCCAGAATCAGGAAGTTTGTTTGGCTTGGATTATTTCCTTTGTAGTATTATAACTCCTTCCCTATTGCATTTGATGAATTTCATTAAACTGTATGGTGTGTTCAACCTCTTTTGTCCATTTCAGACAAGAATGAGGTTCATCTGATGCCTATTCACCCCAACCTCTTTCCTCCATGTCTGTGTACTTTTTCTTATACACTCCAATTATGAGAAATAGAAAGTTCTATGCCCTTCCTCCTTCTTTTATCCTCCTTTCTCTTTTGCTTATTCAACCCCTCAAAACAGAACTAATCCACCCGGAGCATCTATTTCTCTTGTTCAAAATCAGACTCTGACACTAAAAAACTGTGTGACTTTGGGCAAGTCACTTAACTTCTGTCTCAAGTTTCCTCATCTACAAAATGAGGATAATAATAGCACCTACCACCCAAGGTTATTGTGAGGATAAAATAATATTAGTAAAGCACTTTGTGAACCTCAACATACCACCACACCCACACACACTTATCACTACTACTGTTAGCTATTTTTTTCTGTCCTTTCTAGGGCAAAGGCCATTTTCCTTGGCAGAGAAAACAGAAGTAAAATAAGAAATGACTGGCTCTCCCCTAGTCTCCATGATCGATTACTGTCTTGTCCTCTGCTGGCCTATCTTTTCTTTAAGTCCCCCTTTCTCCATATAGCTTAAGCCCCACCCCCTACAACTTTTTAGTTGCTGATAGTTTTTCCCTTTTTTTCGTCTCATACAAATAACAGAAATCTGTCCCCCTAACCCCCAAGGGAAAAAAAAGAAAACATGGGACAGTGAGATATACTCCCCCCATAAGATGACTGTACTGTTGTAGACAGTCCCAGCTCAAGGTTTCTGGTCCTTCCATCTTTCATCAGCCTGAGCACTTCTGACCCTCTCCTTACAGAAGCCATGTCAGGTTCTACTTTTTATCCTCTGTTACTGGCTCTTGATTCCATGTTCTCTATGGATCTTTTAGAAGTCCAGGTTGGTTAGTAAGTTCTCTGCCCCCCCCCATGTCACTCCCTCTATATAACTTTTATTGCTCCTCTTCATCAGAAGTGTTTCCCTTTGTGGTATCAGAATTTTATTCTTCAAGTTTAACCGCCCTGGCTGAATTTCAGTTCATGGAATCTCATCTATCCTTCAACTGAAACCTACCACACGTGCTCTCCCCAAATTTAGGATGCATGTAAAACTATGGCTGGCTCTCCTCTCCTCATTTCACTAACCCCAAGAAGGTTATTAACCATTCTCTTGTAAGATTACTAGGATTTCAAACCCTAGCAACCAATTTCTTCTCTTTTTTGAAAATCAGATCCCAAAGAGAATTTCCCCTTGTTTGCTTCTCTGTTTTTTGAAAAGGAAACGACCACTAAGGCAAATCAAAGCTGCTTTGTTTTTGTCTGAGAGAGATGATCCCAGCAGACATCAAGATAGTTAAAGTCCCCCATCATTACTTTATCATGTTTCTGTGACAAGCCTGGAATCTAGTTACTTAAATCCTCATCCATTTTCTCTTCCTGTCCAGGTGGCCTATAGTATATGCTGATAAAAATCATGTTTTTTTTTTCCTTCACTGATCTTCACCCAGATGTTCTCTACCACAGCCCTCCACTATAGTACCTCAATTTTCTCCTATAAAATATCTAAATATATCATGCTTCCATCCCACTCTCCCCAATCCCCCCTACTTCGATTTCTTATCCTGTTTCTTTTGAACAAGACATATCTTTCTAGAGCCATACACAGTTCAGTCACGGTTGGATTCCACCAAATTTCAGTGATGGCTACCAAGATAATTTTGTCTCCTTGAATTAGGACTGCTAATTTATTCTGCTTTTGAATATGTGGACATTTCTGCATAGTCATTTGAGGTCATGGGTTTCACTACTGACTTTTTTCTTGGATTTTTGTCCTCAAGTTCTGTTATGACCTGGGAATACAGAAGATCTCTCTCTCTCTTTTTTTAGAACAAGTAGCTACTTCAGTTATCTCTGAATAGGAAATCATAACCACCACTACTCATTTCTACTTCTTTCACTTGCACTGGATGACACAAAACGCTACTGTACATTCTTTTTTCCTTTACTGTAACTACTCTCTATGGTATCTGGCGTGGTCTATACATACAGGCTGGCATGGCATCTAAACGGATGACTAAGGAAAAAAATGACAAAGATTGGGTTTGACCACTTCCTTAATACTTGTTATTATATCCTTCAGCAAAAATTAATACTCCTGGGAATGGAACATAAAGGTATCCCAGAAGGAAAAAGGACCCAGAAAACAGACAGAAGAAAAATAAAACTTCTTGGAAAGGGACAATACAAATTAATGTTACACACACACACACAAAAAAAGAAGATGGGGATAGGGAGAATTATCTGAGCTGGGAAAGGAAAGAGTAAAATGAACAAAAGAGAATAATATAAAAAGTAAACTCAAGAAATTTGGGATTGGTGGTCAAGGTAACAGAAAGAAGGGAATTTCAGGGGCTGGAGATCAGTGTTAATGAAATCATCTGATGAAATGAAATGCTAACTTAAAAAGAGCAGGAAATACATACCACACACATATTTTAATGGATAAAAGGCAAACCTGAATGTCAAAAGATTAAATTCCCTAACAGAGCAGAATCAGCATGGTAAAGGAGAGAGAACACTGACTCTGGAATCAGGGAACTTGGGTTCAAATCTTCCTGGTGATGTTTACTGCCTGTGTGACCTTGGAACACTTGCCTTGTCTTGTTTCCTCACTTACGTAGCTGGACTGGATTAGATGGTCTCTGAGGTCTCTTCTGGCTCTCTATATAATCTTCAATTAGAAACAGAATGGTAGAATGGATTTAAAGAAAAACCTAATGGTTTTCTGTACATAAGAATCACATTTAGGGATTCAGATAGGAGCTAGATGGTGTTGTGGATAAAGCATAGGACCTGAAGTTTGGGAAGACTTGAAGTCAAATCCAGCCCCATATGCCTGTTAGCTGTGTGACCTTAAGCAAATCACTTGTTTGCTTCAGTCTCCTCAACTGTAAAATGGGAATAATCATAGCACCTATCTCACAGGGTTACTGGGGTAAAAGAATTTTAAAAATCATTTTTACATGTAACTAGGGAAAAAATAAGATAATGTTAAAAAATAAAGTAAATGCAGACAAAAAAAACCCTAGGAAGAAACAGAAAATCTTGAAAACAAAAGGGCTAGTGAACTAATTAAAACGAAGAGCTCTAAAAAAGCCTAACAAAACCAATAAGCCATTAGCTAACGGAGGCTAGCACGACCTGTGGTTTGCCAGGGGATTTCCGGTGG